AGAAAAGAACAATAGCGCGCTAGTTCCTCACCGCAAGCACCTGCGACCCGGAGTTGTGCAAATATCTCAGCATTATATAAGTTATATTTCGCAAATATCCTGCCATTAAAAAAAGAGTAGGCAGTAATTAAAAAGCTTGAGATTGTGATTATAACTATAGTCTCAGCTTAACTGGGTGCATTGCCGATTTTGGCTGCCTAAATCAATCCCGTTAAAGGATGAGCGCTGATGGCAATGATGGATAGAACTAGCTGAGAGATAGGCGAAACGAAGGACCCGCATGGTGTGGTGGTGAATGCGTTACTCCCCGGAAAGGACAATAGCGCGTTCGTTCCCCACTACAGACACCTGCGGTACGGAGCTTTGCAGATATCTCAGCATCATTGAAAACTCGTACACTCCATCTATAGGTCATCTATGAAAGCAGTAAAGTTCTCGGTGCTAGAATATGGTTAATCGATAAGAAATTGTGTGTCAACGGTGTTCTTTCTTTCATTAGTGCATGTGTCATTGCTGTGTACACAGTCATTGTGTAGCCTCGACCAAAACTCACTCACTGATAAGATTAAACCCAAAGTATCTTTTTACTTTGTACTTTAGACGAACCGACTGTGCATTTCTGCGAGTTCCAACACTATTCCATTCGATTTGTTTCTTCGCATTTATCATCTAGTAGCGTCTTCGGATTTGCTTGTGTTCAGCTTCAAAGAAGTGTTTTTTGGTCCTCTTTGCAAATGCCGTTGATTGCTGCTCGAGTCGATACTTTCTGGATCCGTTCGATATCCCTGCTAAGACATTCCCAGATCTTCATCACAAGCAGTCACTAGGTTTTGTGCATTGCAAGTGATAAACTGATTTTAAGCAAGTCTGCCATCAATTTCCCGACCGCGGAGAGATGGAGAAGTTTTTTGGTCTGGGTATGGTCGAACCCTGCTGGTCTCGAACATTTTGATAGGCACCGGTGCCACTGTTACCGCACTGACGACGCATGTTATTATGTTAATCAATCTCACAACATCACGTCTTTCATTCCATTTATAACATCGCAACAAAGGACCACCTGTACGAGGACGAATGACGAGCGGTCAAGAAATCATCTGATTGTCCTTCGCACGTGAGTGTGGCTGTTATTAATAGTACTTGTTTAGCTCCCACAAGCTGATAACATGCGGTATCACAATGACGATGATGATGGTCGATGGTTGGATCACGTTTTGTGTTTTGTACACGAATATGAAGAACCTACTTGCTCTCAAGTATTTCTCAACCATCATTGTCGTTTTATACGATAGAATGAAGACATGTATGCACGACAATTCATGAAAGTGTTCAACAATGAGCCCAAGAAAACCGTCCACTGCCCCTTTTTTTATGATCATCTCTTCTTGGAACATGTTTGGAACGAGGAATCCGCTCCAATGACGGAAGTATGGACGATGTCGAGATTTTACGGAAAAATCAGCTCATAGGATACTGGCTGGCATCCAATTTCGTCTTAATTAGCTGAATAGACAAAGCGGAAGCCTACCTGGAAGACCTTTTGATTAGATTTTCCATGTGGTTGCTTTTTTCGTATACACATTACAAAATGGCTTCCTTTGCAATTTATCCTTGCGTTCTAAAATATAATAGGGTAATGTTTCACTTTCACATTACTCTTCTTACTACTATTAATATTAGTTTATTATTTCTTTTTTCAAACGACCCGTGCTTCACATCAATTGTGCCGATCCGAACACTTCCTGAATTCGATTCATTTCCTCGAGTCAGTCATCCATGAAGGTTTTTGGATTTTAGTAGTGTGGGTTCTGCTAATGCATGATAGCCAAGCTAGAGTGCGATTGGATTACAAAGAGCATCGTTGTGGTTGTATTCTCATTATTGTTAAAGTCGGTACGAAGTAGAGAGGAGGATATTCTAAGTGTAAACAGCCGTGATGCCGCTCAGTCATGTTGTGAAGAACCGCAGGGGCGTGCAACCCGAGTATCCAAGTCTCTATGTGAGGGTTTTTATAAGGCTATTTCTTTTGCAGTAGCATTATCCTTATTGCGATATTAAAGTTGTCAGCACCTTTTGTTGTCAGGGCCACGTTTTTAAAAAATTTTGCCATATTCAAGCAATTTCGTAGTTGAATCTGAGTGAGGATTATACTAACAACGGCTAACGGCAAGCCGCGTTTGTCCTTTCATTTTCGTGGTGTCTCAGGAGGTTCGTACTAATTATTCATAATAAAAATCCATTAAATGGATCCAACGGTAAAACAGTGAGGATATTGATTGTGAAACGGAATTTTTTATGTTTGGCACGGTAACAATTGCTCAACACCAAGAGGAGGTAATTTTTATCAAACCTATTTGTTTCAGAACAGCTATTGAAAAACATTTTCATATTCTTGTAAAATGCAGCATCGAGACAGAACAGTTTCGTCGATTAATGTTATTCGTTAGGAGGCCGAGCCAAGGCAGTGGTAGTGATGGTCACTCATCACGAGCACAGTGCCAGTCCGATTCCACACCGGGCTCTCTAGACACATCACCCAGGTCGGTAAATTGGTAACAGACTCGTCTGAACGCAATTCACTCCAATTTAAAGCAAAAACGACGAAGAACAACTATCCCAGGCTTCCAGGAATAGCCGGCTTTACCAGAACTCACCGACACTCATAAAGAAAATTGCAATCCTGAAGCAGCAAGCGAATCCACACGTGGAAAGTTGAAAAACCTTCGTTCACGATGAATGCGAGGAAAGGAATCGAATCCAAGAACCGCTGAGATCTGCGCAGTAGCTGTGAAGATGGGTCGTGTAAATAGGAATTGTTATTCGCTCTAGCACAGGCGAATACTCAGCGCAATACTCAAGAATACTCCGCACTACTCACAAAGCGTTTGAACGTCGTGTTCTGAAATGAAACCCGCACTCTCAATATCTACCCAGAATACGGAGCTCTAACTTTCGAAATTTGTCATATCTTCGGGATCCAGGACAATATACATCGATACCGAAACAAATAGGGCAGATTACATAATGAGAAGAGCTGACGACAGGTAGACAAAAAAAACTGTAGAGTGGACTCTACGAGAACCCAGACGCTCTCTAGGACGGCCATCTACACTTTGAGCGGACGTGTTCGTAGGTACGGTTTATCTGATCCCTTGGTGCGTGGACGAAGACACTAGTGGGACGGGTAGACCACTGTGCATCGTCATAAAAGTACGCCTAGTCGGCAAATTTATAATGAAACGAAATGCTCCAGGAGGCACGCATAGGACACTGCGACGTATGGTAGAAGATTTTGAAGTAAAAATCGCCATCTTCGCTGAGAAATCCAAAACAACAACGCCAAAACTCTTGAAGCGTTTTGGATAGATTCCAAAAATCCAAAAATGAACCACAAGCTGTAGTTTGTCTTTCAGCTATTTCTATCGATCTTTGCCGCAGCAGTCACCCGTCAGCGGGATTGATCTGGGGCGCCCAAATCGGCATAGAACCCAGTTAAGCTGCGGCTGTAGTTGAAATCACAATGTTATACCTTTTTATTTTCTGCCTATTATAATTTCGCGGCAAGGTACTAAGCGAAATACAACCACAACGTTGCTGAGATATCGATAGAAATAGCTGAGAGACAGGCGAAACGAAGGACCCGCATGGTGTGGTGGTGAACGCGTTACTCCCCGGAAAGGACAATAGCGCGTTCGTTCCCCACCATAGACACCTGCGGTCCAGAGTTTTGCAAATATCTCAGCAACGTTGTGGTTGTATTTCGCTTAGTACCCTGCCGCGAAATTATAATAGGCAGAAAATAAAAAGGTATAACACAAGCTGTAGTGTTTCGTGATCATGTATGACCTCGCTCCATTCCTAAAGTTAATTTTTTGATCTGAGCCAAGCACATTTCTCGCGCATGCAGGACTCTGTGCTGTTGCTCTCCACCAATTAACTGGAAGGCGTGTTAATGTTTCAAAGAAGTCGTTTCTTATGTGAATGAAAATATCCGCATTAAGTTCTTATCTGCCGAGGTGATGAAGTTTTTACCTGAGTAGATTGCGGATCAATTTCACTTTTCCACACCGTGGAAAAGACCAAATCGCCAAAACATCGGCTATTGTGAACAAATTGTGAATTCTAGTACCATATGATAAAAAGAACGAACGACAGACTGATGAAAAAAACGTGGAGTGAACACAACGAATAAAACCACCATCATGGACGAAGACTGCGAGGTAAAGTAAAGAGTGGAAAATATATTGGGATTCGCACAACTCGTCTAGATGAGCCGTCCAAGTATTCAGGTAAGTTAGCATTGTGAATGAATATCTGTAGTAAAAACTTAGTGTTTGTTCATCAAGAAATCATTGAATTATCATTGCTGAGATCAAAAGAAAGTCGGCCGTGGGATTTGCTACGAAGGGAAGGTATGCTAGCGCCCCACAATTTTTGACGGTACGAGAACAGCGCGCATTCACACAAGTTACGAGTAGTAGTAATCCACAAAGTTTCCTCACAAAAAGATCCTTAACCTTAGGATATTCGCAAGAATACATGGAGATTCTCACAAGGCAGATAAGGCTTAGGCCCGAATCGAAAGCTATTATACGTTTCCTAAAAAGCAGATGGTTTAAGGGACCTCTTCTGCTTCTGCTTTTTTCAAAGGTTTTGCTATCTACCAATGAGCACGTTTTAGCAGCGGAGTCCGGCGAAAACGAACAGTTTCATACCTTTCACTCAACGAGAGCCACCTCTCCCTACTATGCATTCTTTCGGAGATGAGAACGAAGATACTGCTAACAGTCTTTCTATTAGACAATCCATTTATGGTCATTCTAGACCATATTAATTTTATGGCATCTCTAGGTGTGATTGAAGGCATACCAATCCTCGGATCTCACTCGTGGACAGACCTTAGTGGCGAGCCAACGTAGCGTGTTCCCAGGCAGCGGATACTGTTTTCACTGTGTACTAAAAGCAATCTTTCTTGCCTGGAACGCCGCTGGAACCAGGAAATGGCCTCGCTGTTCCTGCTGTGCGATTTGGCACATGCTTTCTATATTCACGCCGGCGTATTCATGCACGCGCCAGCAGATGTGGTCTCCTTTATGCGGATTGCATTCTACGAGTCAATTCCACCAAAAGCCTGTTATCAAGTGACTGCGACGTAAATGGGAGAAGGTTAGGAGCCGCCTCCAACATATAAACTTCATGCCCACTCTGGGAGAAACTGGCAAGCCACCTGTAAGTACATCCAGCCGCCACATTCAAAGCTCAGTAAGCTATACGTGTGCATCAAACACATCGAGATGACGAACAACTGTGGACCATCGGTCTGGATTATCGGCAGTGATGAAGGCAAAAACGTCGGAAAGCTAGCCAAAATAAACATCTTTATCACCCTTGTGTAAGCTCAACAATTTAAAAACATGCTAAACACAATAAAATAAACGGACCTCATTCTCCTAGTCTCGAAAAACCCCCGATTCGGCTGCGTTAGTTAGGACGAGTACGGAGAGGCTGTTAAAATCTTATGGTCATTCTAACCTGCCTAAATGGCAAAGGACTAAGTTGACGATCTGTACCTACAATGCACGTACCCTCGCATTCGAGAATTCGATAGAAGACTTGATCATGCAAGCGAGAAAGATAAGGTACGACGTCAACGCCCTGGATGAGACGAGACGACGCCACCCGTTCAACAGCGTCTATGACACCGGAGAAGAACTGTTCCTCGAAACATGCGACAGTAGAGGAGTCGGCGGCGTCGGCGTTCTCGCCAACACGAGTTTATCCATGAACATCGATTCATTCGAACAACTAACCCGAATCGAGCGCTTACGACTGAAGAGATGTACATTCATACCGGCTTTGACAATCTTCGTCGTTTACGCGCCGACATCAAACTATGACAAGGAAGAAGTCGAGGTGTTCTATCTGGACTTGAAGAAGTTCTGCAGAGAAAACCATACATTCTTCAAGGTCATCACTGGAGAATTTAACCCCAAGATTGGGCTAAGAAGAACGTCTCAACGAGGTCACATTGAGATCAACGAATAAGAATGGAACGGGCAGGTTAAGAAGCTATCTTAGTTTGTCATAACGGCCAAGAACATTCGCGGTAACTGCTAATTCCAAAGCCTAACTTTCAACGTTGGGCCTGAGACTGCGCCAATGAAGAGTAGCATAAAGGAATAGACCACATCAGAGTAAGTCGAATGTTTTGCCGTTTTGCCGAACCGGCTTCGCTGTTGTTTTAAAATGCCTCACTATCACACGTGACCTGGTGCCTTATTTCAAAATGATATTTTGAGCCCTGGGTGTGTCTTGGTCGCGACCCCACGTGAACAACGTGAGGACCAGTCCCACTCGTAACAGCATGATGAGTAGCCTTTTTGATCAATTTGGCATCTATTTAAAAGTTTGGTCTTCATTAATACTTTGGCCTTTTCTCCACCGAATAATTAAGGCATTCTTGTATAAAATACGTCCAGGTTCTGAGGAAGGCGAAATCAGCGATACGTCAGCCATCGACCAACAACACCAACAACAACAACAACGACAACGAAGACCTATACCAACCTCGCATTAGCCGAAGAAGATCAGTTTATAAGATCATATAAATAAATATGTCAACTATCTATGCCGAAGTTTACAGAAAGTCGGTTTTTTGAGTTATTAAGAGATGCTCCAACAAGTCATTTAGTATTGCAGAGATAAACACTGCTTATACACGCGATTTTAAAAATCTCGAAATATGTGCTGTCCATAATGAAGAACGAAACTCACTTCACTTCGACCCAGCGAAATAACATGTAAAATGATAGTGATAAGCGGTTTTGGTGGATTTTAGGATGCAGGAGTATGAAATGAGTCGCACCAGTGGGTAGCTTATTCCTCTCATCGCTTATCATTCATGAAACTGATAGGCACTGATAGCCTTCTTTTTAACTGGTAGCATTTTCACTAAGGTTAAATTTTAAATTGGTCGCTGTTTGAGTGAATGCTTGTGATGAGTGTCATTTGTGGGCGCTTGTGAATCGCTAGTTGACTTAATGACCATGCTTAATTTGGGTTGATCGCTTCGTGAGGTGATGCCTTATTTCATAGAGATTGCAGGAAAAGTAGAACTCGGCCGCGATTTAGGAACACTAGAGGATACGTTATCATTTCATTACAAACTTTAGGATAAGAAAGCTCTTTGCGGCAATACATTCTGCTGGAGAGCGCTGGCATAAGACAAAAAGCGTGTCGTCCATTTTGCCCAGAAACACCGCCATAATGTACAGTTCGGCTCGTGGCGAATGTATCAGCGTAATTGTGCATTGAATGAATTACAGTTAGAGGAAAATGAAGTGTTCGCTACATAAACAAACAGTCGATATTCTTGCATTCATTTAACCACACAGTCATATCTTGCCCGAATTTCTAAGTGCTGTTTCCAGCTATTTTTCCACTATCATCACTACTCTCAACTGGCTCACGTATTCAGGAGCGGATAGCAGACTCGTAGTGGTGCCGATCACTACGAGCATGGTTCTGGTTCGATTCATTTTTAGGCTCACCAAGACTTTAATCTCTAGTAGTCAGGAAATTGGTACCGAACTTGTCCGGGAAAAAATCACCGTTGCAGTCCAACTGGCTATCTCAGGACTCCAAGAAGAATCGACTGGATCAGCATTCTATGACATTCAAGATGAAATGAAAATCCTCGAGCAGCAACCGAAGCCACGTGAAAAGTCGGAAGACCTCATTGTATGATGGATGCGAGGAAGCGAAAAAAGTAAATAAAATACCAATCAAATGATTTTTAAAAGTGCGCAATTGATAGTTTATATACACACAGATTAGATAGTGAATCAATGAAAGTGGAACAACACCGTAAACACACAATCAATTAAGATCAGCATAATTTTCAGTTAGGCAACTTTTGTCAATAAAAGCAGTCGAGCTGTTAATTAGAAGTTAGGAAGTCCTCGCGATCTTAGAATGGTCGGAAACGTGTAAGTGTCAGATTTTTCTTGTTTTACTTTTCAAAACTCATACTGAAGTAAATTAGTGCGCAGGGAAATCATAAGTTTATCCACAGCAAATGCAGCGGAGTATTTTTTGGCACGAAGAACAGTTGAGTGGCGTGCCAATAACTGCTGCCTAGGTTGAGCTTCTTTTGGCATGTGACTTGAATGAGTCTTGGCAGACGAGGTCAACGGTTTAATCATACACATAACGCTGAATTTCCATTCGAAGCACAATGGTACCAGCTTTAGTGTTCCAGTGTTTCTACAAGTTTCTTTATACTACTGAAAACCTGTTGGTAAAAAGTGTAGACTTCGATTTTTAACAAATCCCATTAGTGAAGATCAAAATGTCAACCTCATCAGATCTGGAACAAAGGGGAAGGCCAATCCATCTCAAGCAGGAAACCAAGGCGACAAATATTCAGATGGTATGTAGCACTTCAAGAACCAGTGAAAGTGTAGTACATAAAAGTTCGTAGCCAAGTCGGTCGTTAATCATTCGAGAAAGTAGAGGTTGTCTACGTTTTGGCACGAAACTTAACAAACATGTTAATAAGGTACTACCACAACACCATAGTAGAGAGTATTCGTCGCTTTTTTCAGTATATTCGGAATACACCACCAAGACTGGATCATACTCATGTACAACGAATGAAGATAGAAGTGATAAGATTCAGTGAGTTCTCATGATACGTTGTTAATGAAGAACACGTGATGCATACGATAACATTGACGATACGGAAAATGTAAATATATAATATAATATACTAACGAGTTAATCGCCAAATAACATGAACAGGTCTCAGAGAGGTGTTCACTAGTCATTATCCACCTACCCAGAGAGATGTGTTGTGCAGTGGTTAGATATGACCTGCAATACAAACTGCATCAGTGGTTTGTTTTAACCTATGCTTTGGGCTCATCAATATCTCTCCGGTCTTTTTAAGTTGGTAGGCAGATCTGTCGAGGAGGAAAGCAACATTGCCGTGATACGTCAATAGGCCACAATAAACTATTGTATAGGCCACGTATTCATTTCGTGAACTCCACCGTTTTGCGAATGAAGCCGATTGCATGACGCCTTCCTCAGGAATTGATCAGTGTCAAACTCTCAACTTTTCATTATATCTTCCTAATGGTTTCGTTTCGGACAAGGGGCTTGAAACGGTTGTAAACACCGACGGACGTGGTATGATTAGGACAGCCGGTCAAACAGAAAGCTTTTTTCGACAAGATTTTTGGTCGCTGATGTTATCAGTTACTGGCCACCAACTTCATGATCTCTCAGAGGTAGTAAAACGCGAATGTACAACATCTATCCAAATGTGATAATGGTAATGCGACACACAGAACGACTGGACGACTTTTTTCCGGATTGGATCAGGCGATGCAACAACGAATATCGAGCCTATGACCTCAATATGGTAACCTTTATATCAAAATACGCTGTCTTTTTGAATTTTTATTTTTTATGTTTGAGCAGCAATGCGTTTCAACTTAATATTTATTGATTTACTGAATAGAGATACATACATGCTATTTTTATGGCTTTTAGGATAAAAAAGATGCAAAAGCTGCCACTATAACTGAGCCACCAACAAATTAAAACGACTTTCTAAGCTTGTCGTTTGATGACCCTAACCTTAACCCTACCGAATCAAACCTGACCTAACCTTAAACTTCTTACTTTGTATATACTGCTAACTTTGATTTAGTACCATTCCTAGAAACATGCTCAAACCATGTCTCTGATGTTTTAAAAAAGTTGTCATGTTTTTGTTTCGTAAAGTTTTTAAATAATGCATTATTCGTTGTTTAGAAAATCTGATTAACAACTTACCAAAACAACTTCAGCCCAAAGAATTACCGATTGATCGCCCTCTACATGCTTATGCAAACGATCCTCCAATCACGAATACAGGAGATCTTCTGGCTCGAATCATCGCTAAGGGTATCTACTCAACTTCTTATGTGCCAGGTGAGTTGCACAATAGATCAAAACAATCGATCACATCATTTATAACAGCTAACGCTTTTTCTTTCTCATGTTTTACATAGTAAAAATATTAACTTAGTGATCGAGTTTGCTTCTCCTCAGGAGAAAAGGAAGATGAGCACTCAAGAAAGCTTGCACACATTATTTGGCCTTTGTTTTGTAATTTACCACAACGGTCTTTTTTTTTAAAAAACTACTCGACTTGACATGTCGTGATGATCCCAGCAATGCATGCAGTCGGTGCAATGCATATCATGGCATCCGTCTTCCAAGAAGGTCAACGTTTCGCTTCGATTTGGTTTTTTAAGGAAACTTTGACTTTTTTCACGAATTTCATTGAATGCTGGTCGAGTCGTTTCTCCATCGACAGCCATGCCACGGCATTTCCAGATGATCATCATAAGCAGACATCACATTTCCCAGCCACCTTTGGCGCCAATTCCACTATTCCGGGAGATGAGAACGTAGGCGAACCCGTCTGGGTTTGTACCTATGCACGCCCGTACTAAATGACATCAATATTGCGCCAACGACTTTTACTATAACTCGAAAATTTCCGAAAAGAATTTTTTTGATAGCTTTGAGACTCTACTGCCGAAGCCCTTTCGTTGAAGTAGTCAGTGACGCCGTCGTATCCTATTACCAATGTTGTTGAGAACAATGTATTCTAAAAAGTCAATCAATGAACTAGGATAAGCGAAATTGTGACAGGTTTGGTGTACCATTCCTTAAAAATTGTGGCTTGCTTTCTTATCTGCATAACAAAATGTCTTGCACCGAGAAGACTCGATTTCGTTTAGAACTTCAGAATGATGGAGTATAAGACAAGAGCTTAGATTAACGTATTTGCGGCCAATCAGCCTGCTTTAGATGTTAAGGACCTCTGTGATCAACAGTTACTATGGGTGGACCTATCGTTTTAAGAAAAACTCAGACAACCATTTTTCGTTTTCATTCCATTCTAATCAAACATTACAAAACGGAGTTCTTCCGATTCCCGCCCAGAGACAGTCTTGGTGTTCAATCCTTTGGTTTCCTCTGTTCGACCGATTCAAATTTAAAGGGGATGATTCGATTTTATCTTCGTGTTACAAGATATTTAGGAAATAGCAAGCAAGACTACAAAAGCTACCACATAACGTCGTCCTTTAAAAAAAAAACTTATATGTTCCAAAAAATTATCGTTTATCCATTCCGTACTTAACCAGAAGCCAACCGTATCGTCTCTTTCCACCATTTCTTTTGATAGAAAACATTTTTAGCAATTTATCATCCTAAATTTGAGACCATATTACTTGGGCAAATTAGCTTACATTATTAGCTCGCAATGGAAACTTTTACTTCTGGTCACCGTCCTTCTCAAAAATTTGGGTGATTGATATAAGCTTAAAAGCTCAGTTGCCTCCTCATTCTGGCACATCTCAAAGATTCCGAGTCGGCGGCTTTCACAAAGTCAGGGAAACAAGGTCCTTTATCTCTTTTGCTTTTGGTTCGGAATATTCCGTGCTCTTGATTAGCTGTGAAGCCTTTCTGCGGAAGACAGCAACCAACTCCATATTCTTCCCATTCACTCTCATACCGGCTTTGAGCTAATTAACTTGCAAAACACCACCACATATGCAAGATTAGTTACTCCATCACTGCAGAGACAGAGAAAGCCCATGTCCCGATTTTACCAGAATTTTATAACAAGTTAACAAGTTGTCTAGCAAGTAGATAACTTTTGCACTAGCCTCTTTAGAAAGCGCCACCTAGTCTATCATATAGATCAGTCGAGTTTTCAGGTTTTTTTTGAAAGAGATCTGTGCTCGTGGCTGGCAGGTGTTCCTGAGTGTTGGGCTGAGATGTACAGAGGAGGGATTCATCCTCCTGGTTGGATCTCCCAAGCTGAGAAGGAGTCCGGCGTTTCTATCATGAAGCCTAGCTACGAGTAAACCAATACCAGGATCCACCACCGTCGTGGCATCAAAGACGCATGGTGGCAAATCTCTCTGATCCACAAGGTCTGCCACTGCCTGTGGTAGTGAAGACCTGGAGCAGACTTTGGCCAGGCTGACCTCGGAACTCCAGGGTACCACAATGGCTAGATGAGCTAAACTCCGGAAAAAAAGAAATTACGCTGGGGCCCGTACAACTGGTGAGGACGGACCATTAGGGTATCAAAGTAGAAAGTAAATACAGTGATTGATTAATAAAGTGACAGAAGTGTTTGAATTGCTGGAGAATGAATTGCTTGTTGAATGAAGTGTATAAATCTGTGAATGCCCATCTTGCATTAGGGACTATTACATAACGGTTGTTCAATTAATATGATCACTAATAGAATATTAGAAAATTTACTATTGGATAGATATTGAACTGTCGTTTTGCTAGATCTCATCTATTCGTCGCCAGCGTTGAGATGTCTGCAAACTGCGAAAGCCGTCCGATCCATCTGTGATTGCCAAGCTCACATCAGGTAGTCAGCAACCCTTCATGAAATACTGTATCAATCAGGCACATTGAAATAACTGCATTCACTGCGTGTGGAGCACTTTTGTATGTTGCCTAGGCAGAATAAGCTTCCACTGTTGCTGTAGTTAATCGAACTAAACGTGTACAAGGCGTCTAAGTGGTAACACAAAACTCTGGGGATAGAAAGGATTAAAGATAAAACTCCCGGCGTTGGTCAATCTCTGAGAAATGAGCCATCCATTCTACTTCACTAAACATCGATTGGAGGTGATTGAATGCATATCTGGCCTTTCCAATAACTCTTGGTGGCCTACCGATGTATCGAGCCAGTGCTGCTATCCTCCAAGACAAGTCTGTGGCAATTTGCCGACTCCGGAAGGATGGAGGACTTGATTGGCCAAGGGCGCGGGAATCGATCCTACGTGTGTGTTGCAAGGCACCTTCGACCATTTCGCCACAGAGCCTGAGGTCTGTAAAGTTCCCCGAATGATGAGGTAAGCTATTCCTGTTAAACGACGCAGTTGCCCATCACCTGTATCATCTGTAATCTGTTGACCGTCGAGTGACTCGAACGGGCGCAGGTAAATCTTCCATTTTTCTCTGTCGCGTGCAAGAACATCCCAGTAGGTTTTGCTTGCTCTAGAGGCTCATCGGGCATCACATCTTTCTTTAAGGCTCTTTGTGAAAAACTCTGACCATCGGGTCGGTGGCCTTCTTGCAGTAGTTTGACATTCCAAGGAAACCAGTTACTAACGGCTCTTGTCCATCGGTTATCACTCATGCGCATTACGTGTCCGGCTCACCTTATTTTCGACTGCTTGGCGTACAGAACAGCATCTTTGATTTTTGATCGTCGACGCAGATCGGAGCTTCAGATTCCATCCCTTACTCGTGTGAAACGGAATACTCCTAGCATCGTTCTTTCGACTACGCGTTCAATAACGCTGAGTGATTTTCCATCTTGTTCACGCAGCGACGAGGTTTCCGGCGCATACGTTAGGGCAGGAAGCACCGTTGAGTCGAAAAGGTGGGCACGGAGTCCGGCATTCTATGTTCTCCTCACTACATTCTCGATGCTCTTGAAAGCTCCCTAAGCCGCTCGCTTCCTTCCGCTTAACTCTGGAGCTAAGCGTTTATCATATTGTTTTCCCTACATAGATAGATGTAACTGGAGCATTCGGAGATATTCGTTCCATTGGGCGTGTATGGGACCTACCAAACCAATTCGTTTCTCTTAAACATCGTTTTCGTGAGATTAAGTCAAAGACCAGTCGTTCCAGCATGGTTAATATTGGTGTTATAAGGACGATGTTATCAGCATAACGAAGATGGTGTTATTGCCGACCATCGATTTTCACTCCCATATTATACCATTCCAATATTCGCATGACGTTTCCGAGAGCGGGGGATAAATAATTTTGGCGTGATAGTATCGCCTTGCCTAACTGTTCTCTTGATGGCTATATTAATATCGTTGTAGAATGGTGATACCTTGGTTACGAAAGTTTTTGTGTAGATCACGAATAATCTTTGTGTACTGAGTAGGGACTCCATGACTATCAAGGCCTTACATGACTGTTTCCATCCCAAATGAGTTAAAGACTTTTTCCAAATCGATGAAATTGAGATAGAGCGGTCTTTTGTATTTTCGCGATACTTCACTGAGTCTTGTTACCCTGTGGACGTGGTCCGCCGTAGTAAATCCTTTTCAAAACCGTGCTTGCTCGCATGGCTGCCCTTCGCCCAGTGTTCCGCGAATCCTGTTTAGGACGACACAAGTGAAAAGTTTGTAGACGACGGGCACCAAGTAGATTGGTGTTTGCTGATATCATGTAGGCCACCCATTTTGAACAATAACACGAACCTTGCATTCAGACAGGTGGCGTGTGAAGAGCCAAGCCAGTGTATTTACGGGCATTGCTGGAGGGTTCTTCAGGTGTTCTAGTCTTATGCTGTCCGTACCTGGTGCCGTTCGATTTTTCACCGACGAACTGGCATGTCGGATTTCGGAAGGGAGAACCGGTGGTGCAACGTATCCATTCTCCTTTATTTCATATAACAGAAGGTGGGCGTGGCTATCGAAGAGATCTGAGTAGTTCGTGAATAACTTTCTCCATTGCCTTTTTGGACGCTGTAGCTGTTCCGTCTAGGCGTCGGAGTGCAAACATCTTGGTCATGTAATTGACGAAACTTTTACGATGACTTGAGTGAAAAGTTTGTAGACGACAGACTGGAGCTTCTATCCTTAAGATCTTTTATCGCCTCTCTGCATTGTTTTACAAGTTTGGACGACGGCCAGCGGTTGCCTATAACTTGTGCGATTCCACGCTGGCGTATCAGCTTGAGAGTTTGTGGAGACAGAAGTCTCTTTGTGACTTTCGAACTCTCAGCTTTCATAGCGCTAACGTGAAGATGTTGAATGAGCCGATCGTATTTCTCGTCTGTGCTATCGACAACGGCATCTTTCCAACAGCCGACTGATAAGTTGAATAAGTACCAGTTTATAGTGGCTTTGGAAATTCGTTTTTTTCAATTTAGCCGCTTTTTCTCCTCTCTGCGAGAAGTAGAGTATTGCACGAAGGGCGGTGGTCTGGTCACGTGTTGAATTTTGGGACAACAGCGACATCGGTTAGGCAAAATCTTCGCTTTACTATAATGTGGTCTATTTCGTGATGGTATTATCCACTGGAAGACTTCCACGTACAGCATTGAGGATGGGGTTTCTGAAATTGCGAGTTATCGTGGATGGTCTTAGTGTTCATAGTAAGCTCAGAGAGCGGCTCACCCTGCTCGTTCCATCCTAATCCGTGGGGCACAATGTGACGTTCTTTAGGCGTTCCTCTCTGTCCAACATTGGCGTTAAAATCTCCAATGATGACCTTGAAGAATGTACGGTCTTCTTTGTACAACTTCTCCAAGTCTATATAGAACGCTTCGACTTCTTCTTCGCCATAGTTTCATGTAGGCGCGTAAACGACGAAGATTGTCAAAGCCGGTATTGATCCACAACTAACCGGCACGAGATTCCTCATATGAAGGATCTCCGTGGGAGTTGCCCATAACGGAAAGTAATTACTTACTTGGACACTTGGATGGTCTGCCTTCGCGAGTTGTGCTGACCCCATCACATTTGCCATTTGTTTTCTTCAGTCGCAATTGTCGTTCATAATGGTGGTTTTCTTCGAACATGGTGACGCGTGCCAGTCTTGCACCGTGATCTGTAAACAAATGCAGCTGCAACTACATCCTATTAACTTTGGTTGCAAACACGTCAGCCCAACGTGTAGCTGACCGTCCTAGCGAACGCTTGCGTTGTCGTAGAGTCCACTCTGCAGTTCTTTTCGTCCCTTATTGTCCGTTTTTCTCATTATGTAACCTGCCCATCTGTGATTCGCTATCAACGTATCTCTCTTGAATCTCGAAGATGGGACGGATATCGAAGATCAGAGCTTCGCATTCTGGCTAGATATTGAGAGTGATAGTTATATTTCAGAAGGCATCGCTCAAGCGCTCTGTGAGTAGTGCGGAGTATTCTTGACGTCGTTGTAGTATCATCCCACGTCTCTTCAGCATAACAGAGCGCAAGGAGGACCGTTGAATCGATAAAGTGAGCGCGGATTTTCGGGTCCTTGGGCCTGAATACTATCCAAGCTGTTATCCTTCTTCTGTCTATTTTCTTCTTCATGTTGTTTTCCACGTTCGTTGATCGCACAGAGTATACGTATGAGTAGTCTCTGCAGTCATAGGGCCATCTAGTTCAATTTTTCCGTTTTCCACCGTGGCCTTCGCATGACATGGGTTTTCTTCAGATTTATGCGTTTCCCAACCTTATTCCCCACTTCGTTGAGGGCATTGACCATTGCCTCTGCTTTCCTGGTACTTCTTGAGAAGATGGCGATGTCGTCGGCGAAGCGAACGTTTGATAGGAATATTCCATCAATACGTATGCCTTTCTTATTCTAGTTGAGTGACTTTTCATCGGCTTCATTGGTCGGTGAATAGCAGTTGATGTTAGTGATCTTTTTATGATGCGACAGTTGAAGACGGCGAAAGGCTATACGAGAGGAAAGTATCTCGTATGAGTCGACGAGATGGAAATGGGCCGTTGGACGACAGAGCGTGCGCCGCCGACATTTCGTGAAGAGAACTTTTCCCCACAGATATGTCGCTTTTCCTGGTTTTTTTTCTCGCAGTACGATCATATGAGATTTGATGCGATATGCGCTTCAAAGAGGGCGTAAAGGCCGACGTCTGTGGAAAATATTGTGGTATTATACGTACAGAGTAATAAATAATCTCCATAGCGTGTAGTGCTTGTAGACGTCAGCTCCGGTTCCAGTGACGTCCTATGTATCCCGAGATTTCGTGGCCTTTCACCGCCTGACGTCATAGACAGGAGCACCAAGTGTGCGGAGTCCTGAGGATGGTTGATCAGTTTGATCCTCCGTGGAGTCCTGACTTAACTCTGTAAGGGCGGATTCAGGTCTTCACCACAATGTGGATCCAAGACAGCCTTGTGATATTGGGGTTAAACATTAGCAAAAAGTAACCTTTTTAGATGGAAGAAATAATAAAATTTTGAACAATACTGAAGAGATAATTGCTTAATGATGTATGAATTGTTGAGATTGCTCCTCTATGCTACTGCTGAACACTAAACCACAAGGAAAAATCTGTTGGCAAATCAGTCATGTAGGGATATCAAGAGGCGGCATATCAAATTCATATGACTGTAGCGGGTCCAGGCTAAGACGTCTAATAGACGTAAAGTTGGCCAAGCCACCTCACTACGAAGTCGATAGTGGCTTTCGTAAGTGGGTCGCTTTAAATGCTTTTCAGTTTTTAACGTGCATTATTAGATCTTTCCTTGGCAATGCGACTGCCAACCACTTAGAATGTACCGAACTTTAAGCAAAATATAACCACAAGATCGCTGAGATATTTGCAAAACTCCGGACCGCAGGTGTCTGCGGTGGGAAACGAACACGCTATTTTCCTTTCCAGGGTGTAACGCCTTTACCACCACCTTGAGCGCTTAATACGCTGCCATAAAAATAATAGAAGGCAGAAAATAAAAAAGTAAACATCGTACCGAACCTTATCAAGATTGGCTAAAAACTAAAAACTAGTTATTGGCGCGCGTCGATGCACTCGAATAGACGACCTCCCTATTTTCATAAAAAATTAACTTACTGAATGCGATTTCGATTATTTTTTATTAATTTGCTTAAGTTTCATTTTAATACTCTGAGCTTTTCCTGACACAGTTGTTATTTTTTTGGTTCCTCGCCTACTTCATTATTGGTGCTCATACTCCGAAAGTCAAAGCTTAACAATGGTAACACTGTATTCCTTTCATAGTCTTCCTTGAAAAAAGGGAGAGGCGTTCGACCTCACCATCACTCCGAGGTCGGAAAATTGGTACGGACTTCTACTGGGAAGAATCACTCTCTGTAGTCTAAGTGTGAACGCTCTAGCCGCGTTATCTCAGGACTCCTGTAAGTATCGGCTCGCCCAGCATTCAACGACATTCATAATGAAAGAAAAATCTGCAAGCAGCGGTCGAACCCTTTGTAGATGTTGGTGGATGCGAGGAAACGAATCGAATCTGAGATGTGCTGTGATCCGCACAATAGATGTGAAAGACGGGTCGTTCAAAGGAAAGATGAATCTCGCAAAGCAACAGTGGCGTATTTTACGATGAAAATGCTTTTTTAAGAGCTATGCATGATATTGCACAATGGCCTTTACCAACTGTCGTTTGCCTCAGCATTAAAGTGTCATACGTAAAAAACCACTAAATAACTCTTTGACTAATGCCATGGTTATTGTTATTGTTAAACAATGGACTCCTTATATCGCGATAAAGTGAATTATAACAGAGTCGAACCGGGACTGTTTGAGAATTTATCGATGTATCCTAATGGTCTGCCTCAATTCGCGACACCTGAACAGCGTGCTCAATTCAACGTCGACGAGAGATACAGGCCTCACATGAGTATCAGTGACGTCAGTCCAGCTAGAGCATTATTTTAAAACCTAGAAAACTTGAATAGATTGGGTAAATTTTGATTAATTATCTTTTAAAAAGTAATATGGGGAGGAGGTTAGCGAAGCCATATGTAAGTGGGTGGGTTAGGTATACGTACAATCGTATATTTGATAAATTAAAAAGCAATTTGCTGTCACTGAGCTTTGCTGCTGTAGCGTTGGAGAATGAAGATGAGGAAAAGGATGTTCAGACAGCTTAACACATCATTCGTACGTGAACCTATTGAAACAATGGATTTCATTACAGGGGTTAGCTAATTTCACATCATCGTGTTTCGCACCCAAAATAAGATATCATATTTTCGTTTGAGAGACTTCTTTCTTGTATTCGTTTGAAAAGCAACGAATCTCGTAGTGCCTGTCGTGTTAGGACGGTGAGAACACCTGGGGAACAGGTTCTGAGTTCTTAAATCTATGCCCAAATAAAGTTCACTGGTGAAAAAAACTGGTAACGAATTAATTTGATTTCAATAATTCAAAAAGTTGACACTGTAGCTGAGAAGGAATCTTCATGAAACCGCTGCCGACTACAACAGCCGTTTGAGGAACACTCTGTTACGAATCGCTAAAATGCACGAAGTGAGTGCTGAGAAAAAAGATCATGTTGTGTTGGTGAGTCTTGCAAGCGCAATTCACTACCGAAATGTATTAAACGATGTTCTTCGTATTCTTGTTGAGCAAACATAAGGTGTTATTTTATTTCATTATTTACGTACAAGCTGACATTTCGGCGGATTTCGCTTTCCTCAGAGCCTGAAAAGGTCAGGTTGACAGCAATTTATTCGGCCAAACACCTCCATAACCAAACAAAGAAAACGCTGAACCAAGATTTTAATCACATTGAATACAACGTTGCACACTCACCGCTTTCTATGAGGCTTCCACTGAGTAATTCGCGTGGAGACCGACCGCACAGAATTTACATGGAAGGGTAATGTGCCCCTCCCATCAGAATAACAGGCTCTAAGGAAGGCTAAATCCGCCGAAACGTCAGCTTATTCACGAATAAAGAATAAAAATAACACAACACATGCTCAACGAGAACACGAAGAATTCCTTAATCAGTGCCGAGGTTAATAGAAAGTCGGTCGTGGGAGTTAAACAACGTTGTCGAATATAAATGTTGCCAGAGGTTGATAGATATCCGAGTGAACTAGGCGTTCTAAAGCATACAGTGAATTTACTGTCACTCAAAAGCAAGTGATGCCAGTGTGTTCGTAACAGTAGTTTAGTTCTCCAACTTGCGCATCTTCTTATTTGAGGAGATTCACGGTATAATCTGTTGATACGATATGTTTCGTTCTTGAGATGACTAAAATTCCTACTTAAGAAATATTAACGCACGTGTTTTCACCGCCGGTATATTTCGTTCCTCTTTTCGTGTCTTCATTTTACGCCTATGCAAATTCTTCTTAACTTGCTTCCGATACCAGTTGACTGATGGAGGTTGTCATGGTTGTCATGGTAGCCCGGTTGTGAAGAAGGCAATGTCCGTATGACCGCATTGATTTCACGTAGCTGTTAGGTTACGATTCCATCCAAAAAACTCTTAAAGCTAGCGATTATTTGAGTAATTTTGATTAATCATGCAGGGATGAGTGAAAGCTTGTTTAGCATAGTATTATTAATAAACTTGTTAAGAACTCATTTTAAATGTTAAGGCAACAAAGAAATTTTGCTCTTCCTTCACTTTTCTCTTAATTTTCTTGCCCTTTCTTCTATCCTACCTATACCTGTGCTGATATTAGGCGTTGTATTAGACAGTAGCCTCAAATAATGATTTGCACAGATATTCCATAGCACAAGTGGCATCTTGATATTATCATTATTTTAGTTTTAATCTCCTAATGTTCAATTTAAAAGAGGTTTTATATTTCATTACGTTCAACTTAAAGAGTCAATATCGGATTCTAACAGAACAATGTCCATTGAGCCAAACTCTAACTGAAAATGATTATCGAGTAATCAAACGGATAATGTTGGAAAAATTTCAGGTGGTCGGTCATGCCTCAACAGTCGATTTGGCAGCTGGCCATCTCGCAAAGAGTTCTCGTAAGTCAACTGAGCACGATCTGACTTGGAGCTACAGGAAAATACCTGTCGGCAGTACCTTAGTGCTCGAGCGTGTTCAGGTCTGGTTATTTTTATCGTTATTACTATCATTACTATTACTATTAATTACTAGCAATAATAATAACCACAAGAATGCTGAGATGTGAGGAAAGCTCGGAAAACCACTGGGGGGCAAAGGCAAAGGGGCGAAGGACTAAGTGGCGAACTGTACCTACAATGCAGGTACACTTGCATCTGAGTCGTCGATAGAAGACTTGATCAGGCAAGCGAGAAAGATCAAGTACGACGTCATCGGCCTGACCGAGACGAGAGGACGCCATCCATTCAACGCTGTCTATGACACCGGAGAAAAACTGTTCGTCGGAGCATGCAACAGTGGAGGAGTCGGCGGCGACGAAGTTCTCGTCAACACGCGCTTGTCCATGAACATCTATTCATTCGAACAACTAATAACCTGAGTCGAACGCTTACGATTGAAAAGATGTGGATCAATACTGGCTTTGACAATCTTCGCCGTTTACGCGCCGGCATGAAGCTATGACGAAGAGGAAATCGAAGCGCTCTATACCTGAAGAAGTGCTCTACAGAGAAGACCACACTTTCTTCAAGCTCATCATTGGAGATTTCAAGGCAAAGATTGAACAAAAAAAGAACGTCTAAAGAACGTTGCATTGCCCCTCATGGATTAAGATGGAACGAACAGGCTAAGCGGCTCTCTGAGTTTATAATGACGACCAAGACTATCCAATGATAACTCACAATTCCAGAAGCCCTAGCCCCAACGCTGGACGTGAAAGTCTCCCAGTGGATAGTACCATCACGAAATAGACCACATTATAGTAAAGCGAAGATTTTGCCTAACCGATGTCGCTGTTGTCCCAAAATTCTACACGGGACCAGACCACTGCCTCCCTTGTGCAGGACTCCACTTCTCGCAGAAAGGAGAAAAAGCGGCTAAATTGAAAAAACGAATTTCCAAAACCACTATGAACTGGAACTTGTTCAACTTATCAGTCGGCTGTTGGAAAGATGCCGTTGTCGATAGCACAGACGAGAAATACGATCGGCTCATTCAACATCATCGCGTTAGCGTTATGAAGTCCGATAGCACAAAAGTCACCAAGAGGCGTCTCTCTCCACAAACTCTCGAGCTAATTCGCTAGCGTTGAATCGCACAAGTTGCAGGCAACCGCTGGCTCACCTCCGAACTTGTAAAACAATGTAGAAAGGCGATAAGAGATCTTAAGGATAGGAGCTGTAATCTGTCGTCTACAAACTCTTCACTGGAATCATCGCAAACAGGATTGATTTTTAAAAAAACTGGACGAAGAGCAGCCATGTGCGCAAGCAGGGTTTTGAAAAGGATTTAGTACGGCGGACCATATGCACACGATAACATGACTCATTGGAGCATCCCCTGAGTACAAAAGACCGATTTGTCTTACTTTCATCGACTTACAGAAGGCCTTTGACTCAATTGAGATAGAAGCAATCATGGAATCTCTTGATAGTCATAGAGTTCCTACTCAGTACATAAAAACTCTTCGCAAGTGTACAAAGATTTCACAACCGAGATATTACCACTTTACAAAGATATTATCATTGATGTCAAAAGGGGGGTTAGGCAAGGCGATACCATCTCGCCAAAATTTTTTACTGCCACCCTCCAGAGCGTCATGCGAACATTGGAATGGGATAATATGGGAGTGGAAATCGATGGTCGGTAGTTACACCATCTGCGCTTTGCTGATGATATCGTTGATGATAACCTTATCGCTGCGCAGGCAGGGTGGAAGGTCACTCAGCGTTATCGAGCGTGCAGACGAAAGGACGTTGCTAGGAGTATCCCGTTTCATACAACTAAGGGATAGGATCCGAAGCTCCGACATGCGTCAACGATCAAAACTCAAGGTGTATGCCAAATAGTCGAAGATAAGGTGGGCCGGACACGTAAGGCGTATGAATGACGACCGATGCACAAGAACCGTCGGTGCCTGGATTCTTCGACATGTCAAACGTACTGCAGGAAGACCACCGACCCGATAGTCAGAGTTCTTTATAGAAAACCTAGAAGAAACATGTGCTGCTCAACGAGATCGTAGAGCGAGCAGAACCTACTGCGCTGCTCTAGCACGCGACCGGGAAAAATGAAAGAATTACTGGCACTCGCTCCAGTCACTCCAGGATCAATTGAACTGTAGGTGATACAGTTGTTTGCTTTGGTGGCGTCTAGCGTAGTGGTTAGAGTTGCCCAGCGTTACACACGAGGTCCTTTGTTCCTTTGTGAGCTTAGTGTTCACCAAGCCTTCTTTCCGTCCTGGCTAATTAAATCGGTATGATGCTTCTTTGCAAAGTTAGCAGCACTGAATTCATACATCTTTGGACGGTCACAAGTCATTATGTAGGCCAGATACGCATTCATTCCCTCCAACGATACTCTACAAAGCCGAATGCACGGCGCGTTCACGGAGAACGACCAACGTCACAAGCTTTATCTGTTATTACCATCGTCTTAAACATCAATTTGTTTAAAAAACTAGAATATGGAAAGTGTACTTGAGGCAATTCAAGCTCGTCTGCAATGAATGCACTGGTCTTATTTCAGAAAGTCAAAGTAGACTGCTTTTGTAAAAAAAGAAAAGAGTAGGCATCTCGTTCTGAGAGAATGACCCACCTCATCGCTCTCGAGAGAGCGCAGATTTCTCAGATGCTTGGTGCAGAGGAAAAAAATGGAGGGTTTTTTGATGCTTGCAGAAGTTACCCAGTGATTATCGGTATTGGTGGCCTGGTTTCGTAATTATTTCCCGCACAGCATATTAAAGCGTCGAATTCTTTGATTGTCATTCAAGTCGTCCGGAATTCATTTGTCCAACTTTCTCAACTTTCAAATCTTCTTTGGCTACGGAATAGCTGAAGTGCTTACGTAGAACTCTGGGCGTTCTCGAAGAGTGATGTTTTCACCTGCTTTCACCGAAGCCTTCTCTTCATCGTTGAGATCGTCTTTAACCATCTTTAACTGCAACGTTCATTTATTTCCACGGCGAAATTTTCCAAACCAATAGTTCGCCGTGGGTTTCTTGACACTTCCTCGGCCCCCCCCCCATACCTTGTTTTGACCTCTTTGCGCTATAGTATGACCGAGTTTGATTTCATAGAAGTAGATTTGTCAAGGCTGGCTGCTCACACATCCGATGTCCTAGTTTTTAAAATTTGTCAAGAGCACGCTTCGTACAATAATACAACCGTACACTACTAAAGTGCAAAAAACACCCTTGCAATTTATTTATATGATCTTATAAACTGATCTTCTTTGTTCTTCGTATTCTTGTTCAGCAAACGTGGGTTGTTATTTTATTCCTTATTGATGCGATGTTTGTATAGGTCTTCGTTGTCATTGTCGTTGTTGTTGTTGTTGCTGTTGCTGTTGTTTTTGTTGATCGATGGCTGTCGTTTCGGAGATTTTGCCTTCCTCAGAGTCCCACTCGTAACATCACGACTCTGAGAAAGGCGAAATCGCCGAAACGTCGGCCATCGACCAACAAAAACAACAGCAACAGCAACAACAACAACAACGACAGCGACAACGAAGACCTGTACCAACCTCGCATCAGCTAAACAAAACAGTTTATAAAATCATATAAATAAATATATCAACTATCTATGCCGAGGTTTATAGAAAGTCGGTCTTTTGAAGCCCTTACAATTTTGCATAATAGTTAAAAACGCGAAAAAAAGAAAACTGCCAAAATATGTCTAAGAAAAATGAAGATACAAATCCGACGTTAGGCCTCGCCATTTCCTGAATCTACATTCTCCCCATAAAAATCGTCGCTTTAGTTCGAGATTAAATGTGTTCATCCTTCCATCAGACAAGTCTGGTACAAATTTGCTGGCCAAAGACATTGAAAACCAGGTTGAGGGAGGAATGCGATCAACGACCACCTGTGAATTGCACGACACCTCTGACTACTGCGCTAATTCTGAGTTTATAATGTACCACAGTGTAGGATAATGGGGTGCATTCAATGAAGAACATTCGCACATTGTTCGAATCACATTAGGCACTTTTGTTCCGCCTTGTTTTTTCGAGTAAAAAGGTGACAACTAAAAGGTATTTTAGGGTCGCCGTGGATGGACACCAAACCTCTATGCGATTCCACCTGTCACCTATACAGGTCTAAGTAATCAATTCAGTGCTCCATTTGTACTACGTGATGCACCAGTGGTGAAGGAATGACATCATTGTAACTGTGATAATGTATGGTAAAAATGAACTTATGAAAATGATTTTCCACCAAATACCAGACGTCGTATGATTTCTTTTCCCAGAACGACTGGAACATAGTAGCTCACAATATCTACCGTTTAGCACACTCGCTTTCAACTACAGGTTATCGATAACACGTTGAGTTTCATCATTGTTTACTCATAAGTAGTAAGTCAATATTGGCTTGGATGAGAACCAAATGCGTGACTGGGATACTGCAAAACATTGAACCGTGAAGCGGAACCGCAGTATTCAGATTCCACCTGGTTACACATTTAACAATATCTCGGGCGCTTCATTGTGTTGCTGTAAAATATTCTGTTTTGCTAATCTCTTCAACGGTGGTGTTCCAAAAGGCATAAGACTACGTTCTCTGTAAAAAATCGATAACTATAGAATGTTCTTTATCACGCAGAAGTTCACAGAAAAAATGTGCATATTCATTCACTACGTAAATATACGTTTGGAAATCACAGTGTAGATGTAGAGCGTATTAGAAAATGAGCATTGGCCGCATTGATTAAAAAAACACCTGAAAACGACCCGAATGACGATTGGTTTGCATTATGGGGAAGGTAGTTGAGGCGCCAATATGCAAATGCGTGCAAATACGTGCAACAGCGTGCGACAGTCCGCGAGTCTGAGCGACACGAGGCGACAACAAACGCAGATATAACCCAGTAGCAAACTACGAGAGAACATAGTAGAGGTAATAGTAATTCGGAATTATAAGAAGCGACATCCATGTATCATTGGATCGATGGACGTTGAACCGGCTTCCGGTAGTAGATAGAGGCAATTCATATTCCAGAAATCAGAAATACTGATATGACGTTTGTGTTGCTGAAATGAGTCGACTATAATCAAAAACAAAGCATTTAGGTATGAAAACTATCCAAAACAATCCATGACTATGCAGAACATTTCGTGCTCTTTTCGGTATCATATCGAATAGCTTGAGGATTACTCTATTTTCTTAAACTGTGTGGAAGTACGAGTTCGACAGGTGAAGGAACTACTGCATCGTAAACCAAAAGCCACCAAATAACATATTTCGAGCAGAGGAAGGGTAATTTAAGATGAATATGAGGCGTATTCACACATTGTGAAGATGGGCTTTTGCAGAGCAGATTCATAAAGCTGGTTATAAATACCTCTCTTGTGTAGATATTTAACTAATTGACTCATTGAGCGAGGAAAAAGATATTCATTCATTGAAATAGAAGTGGATCTAAAGAAAACTCCTATTTAGTCAAATGTTCAACTGTTAGATTTTATATAGCCTATTTTGGACCCCGGACCAGATCGAACCCCAGGTATTCTGGGCCGGGTTAAATCTCTCAGGGATTGATTAACGCCGAGAGCTTTATCTTTATCTTATAGCCTATTTTGAGAAAGCCAAAGATCACTTAAACGCAGTCTCAATTCAAAATACTGAATTTCTAATAGCTTCGGTAGTAATTTACTTATCTTACGAAGTCTCACTTCAGAGCGCGGACTAACACAATATGGTTTAAAAGGATTACATGTATTTATGTGCGTAACATACTCGTGGTTTCACACTTTTAACAATCAGGGACCAAGGCCTACATCCATGTGGCTAGAACACTTATTTGACGCTTAGTTTTTCGGTGCATCCGCTGAGTGGATGTTCACTAACACCAATCATTACGTATAACCATGCAAATGACCCCGTCGTTTTTGTTCTGTTTAATTTGGTTTTTTATGTATGTTGATGATAATTTCGATGGCTTCTGCTTTCTATGCATCCTTTAAACTTCTGTTTGCATTCTTCCATATCTTTGGTACATTTCGAACCATTATTTGTGAGGATAAAAACGGGTCTACTATGCAACACCGTTGGTGCTGGCATTTGCTGGTCGTATTCGAGACACATATAAATTACATATCGGTATTTTTTGTATATATCTATTTCATTCCTGCAGTACACGTAGGCTCGATACCGCACCTCAGGTACCTCAAGAATTTTATCTCTCATGTGTTGGCAGATTGGTACCGGGCTTGTCTGGGAGGTTAGCAGCACTGGCTTGATACATCGGAAGCCCACTGCGCGTCATTGTGAGGACCAGACATGCATTTATTCACCTCTAAGCGATGTTTAATGGAATTGAATGCATGGCACTTCCTTCAGGGATTGATCAACGTGAAGAGCTTTATGTTTCTTATCCTTTACCAATTCTATTGGGCCTACGCTTGTGATTTGAATTCGTTCGGAAATGTTTTCGCTATCTTTTCCTACAAGCTGTTACCTATGTAGAACGGAGTTCCAGGTTCGATGCTCAGCAATGTGATCTGTGTCCGACATGCTATTCATTTATTAGAAAAAGCGCAACAAAACCCTGTATACGGCAGCCACAAGGAAAATGAGTGGATAACCATTCACGCGAATCCCTAACTATTGAAATTAAAAGCAATGAGGACCTTTTAATAAATATGTCCTTGATTAAGCCTGCAGAATATTTATGAAATAATAATAATACAAATATATAGCAATACCGTCAAAACGTTGGTCAACGAATAACAAAATATGTCTTGACAATCTCGTGTCATCCCAAAAAAGAGAGCTCGTAAGATAGTATGCTCCTTGTCCTAATTATTTGATAGGCATCACTCTTATTTTTGAACCACTGGAATATTATGATGTTAAGAAAACAGAGCTCTGAATACGCCTCATTTGAACTGATCAGAACCTGCACGCAGCAGTTTCTTTCATTGTATAAACTGCGCCGTTTGACGGATGAGAGCGGAAGAACGGAAGGCTTATAGAAAGTCGGACTTTTTTTAGAGTGGAAGAATACTATCAGAACGCGTACGTCACTTTTTAGGCGGTTAGGAAAGGATAATGCTCTCATTGTTGATCAATTCTTAAGGGATGCGCCAACCATTCGACTTCATTAAGCATCGGTAGAGGTGATTGAATACATACATGGCCTTTGCAATATCTTGCGGTGGCTTACCGATGAATCGAGCCAGTGCTGCTATCCTCTCATACAAGTCTGGTACCAATTTGCCGACCCCGGAGGGATGGAGGGCTTCGTGACCCTGGAGCGCAGGAATCAATCCCATTTGTATTGCAGAGCATCTCCGACCACTGCGCCACATGCGCCCCTTTTGAGCGATAGAACAATTCTAACAAATTCCTAGCCTCTCGGTTTGCCTTTCACTCGGTCATTCTATCAATTTCCTACTGCTTTGCTAATACAGAACGTGTCTACGTAGATCGCTAACGATCCACTTACTTGTCAACATCGCTTGTGTGTTTGACGACATCAATTAGTCAATAAAAATTAGCGATTGTGAACTGGAGCAGTACGATGTGCTGCTAGCATGAATTGCTTGCATGAATACCGCTGGCAGAAAATAAGAAAGACGTTCAGCAATCGAAGTGTTGTGCTCGCCATCTACCTGAAGTCGTTTCTCGGCCGTCGTACCAACGTCGAGCATGTTGAAGTCGAGTAATAGTCGGTAGGTCCATTCAACAGTGAAGAACGTGGCAGCATTTGATGGGAACGCTCTTTAATATAGAAAAAATCATTGACTGTTTCTTTTAAGATCCTAGTGATTCTATTAACTAGCACTTTCTTCTGATTGTGTTTCGCATTCACTAAACTAACATTCTCTTTAAAACTAAAACCTAGTGGTAGTATACGCAGTGAAGAATTCATCATCACGAAAAGCGCGCTATAAAGCAAATGCGTGGGCGGAAAAGTCTTGATTGCGGCTTCATTTATCGATTTACTGCTTGGCGCCGCAGTGAGTGTAACTTTGTGAACGATTTCTCATTACAGTTTGTTCAAATCAAGCAGTGCTACACTTCAAAATCACTATTTTTTCTCGTATGAAGTGCTGAGATATTTGCAAAACTCCGGACCACAGGTGTATGCAGTGGGGAACGAACACGCGCTGTTGTCCTTACCGGGGAGCAGCGCACTTCACCACTACACCACCCGGGTCATCTCAGCACTTCATACGAGTCATATTTCACAACATACCCTGCCATTAAGAAGAAAAAGGCAGTAAATAAAAGAGTTAAGACTATTTTTTCTATTTTAATTTTAGTTTTTGTAACTTTTTCCTATTTTAGCACTGAAAAAGTGCGATATTATTCGTGGGAGGTCAGTGTTTTTTATAAATAGTAGATCAAATTTATACCACTACCGTAATAACGTCGAGCCAAGGCCAATGTAGAATGTCCGTATGCCTCCTTCTCTGTACGTAGACTGTATACAATGCAAATAGTTCTTATAGTTGGCAGCTTGAAAACGTGTTTTGATGACGTCCGTTGGATAGTTAAACAACCATGATAAAATTCCTGCACCGCCTACAATTATAACAACAATGAAAACACATCAAACAAAGATGAACAGAAAGAAGCAGAACAATAGAGAGAGTATGATGGAACGGAGAGTCGAAATGGAGCAAAGTGGGAGAAACCATGGAAAAGTTTTCATTGCTGATAGATGACAGCAGAGATCTACATCTGTGACTTCAATGATTTACATCTTTTTCATGGTTTGGATATATTTCTGGGTATCAAACTATAGCCGCATGGCGACCCAAAAGTTAAGTTTTCTCTGCAGAGCCCCGAAGCTAGCTTTGCCCATCTTGTCGCCAAAAACGGAGAAGATAAAGACCCCATATAAAAAGTACTACGGTTGCGTTCCTCATGGGAGAGGGAGGCTCAACAAACTTTAATGCGCCACTGGACGAATATACTTTACTAGTTCACATTCAAGTCATTCAATGACCAACTGGAATAAAGGTAATAGTATTGATATAAGTGGTTTAGATTCATGAATAGTCTGCATCGAATGGCTAGTGCACTTGGACGTAGACAATATGAAGACAAACTTGAGATTGCAGAAATCAAAACTTAACAATCGTTAGGGGCAAGGATGAAAACTGAAAATTTTTTACAATTCTGGTAGATTAAATGTGACCTTACATAATTAACGATTGTAGATAATTGACGTCGATTTTACCCGCAGTATGGTGCTGTTTAACGAAAAACTATAACCGAACCTCCTGCGAAGAGCAGTTGAGGACCCGTAAGCGATTCCATTTGACCATCTTTGCTCATTCTTCGTGACATCCATTCGTAAGAAGCAAAATATATGCCAAAAGCTGGACAATCACGGAGCAAGGTGGCCAGAAAACCTCTGGAATATTTTTGGCTGTATTTTCTTACTTTTTATCCACCATATCATAAGTTACGTAATATTGTTCGGAAGTAAGATTCACGTCTACACGAAATGTCTTGAACAATTTCACCAACTCATCAGCTGAAGCACCGATTACAGAAGCTATTAGATAGATAGATTACAGGTTTTATTACTGTTATTGTTATTACTCCTCCCAACGGTTTACCGCCTCATCGAGGCTGGGAGGTGTTCCTGAGTGTCGGACTGCGATGTACAGCGGGGGATTCGTCCGCTGGCAAGGTCTCCCAAACTCAGAAGGAGTCCGGCGTTTCTATAAGGAAGCCTAGCTAAGAGTAAACCAATATCAATACCAGGATCCACCACCGTGCTGGTATCAAAGTCACATAGTGGCAAATCTTCTTTTGATACACAAGGGTTGCGACTGCCCGTGATGGCCAAGACCTGGGGCAGTCTTTGGCCAGGCTGACCTCAGGACTCCAGGGAACCATAATGGCTTAACCATCAAATATCCGAAAAGTGGAGATAATGCTGAGGCCTGCACAACTAGTGAGGACGGGCCATTCAAGTATCAAGTAAGTAAGTATTATTACTATTATTATAATTATTTTGTAATTTCTCAGCTACAACTACTTTCTCTCTCATATCAAACTGATCTAATCCACGAAAACGTTAACACAGCCTGGGTGTAAATGTTTCGTTTTCTGGGAACCTATTTTTAAAAGTTTCTCCGTTCTTTTGAGCAAGATTAACATAAAAAGAAGCAACTTTTTCTGAAGTGCTTAGTACAATATGTATTTGGATATCTTTTATACTACTATATTTATTTATAGAATATAAGCTTTAAAAAGCGCTCTTTTCCAAATTGCTCCACTATGACTGCACCATGCATTCAACGCAATTCGTATCATCGTAGAGGTTATTGAATGCATATTTGGTCTAAACATTGACTGTCGAGAGACAACCGATGTGCCAGAACAGTGATTTTATCCTTCCAGACAAATTTAGTAGCAATTTGCAGACCCCAGAAGATGGAGGGCTCAATTTCGTCGAGGTGGGGAGTCGAACTAAAGACCACGTATACAATACAGGTCATTTCTTCCCATTACTCTCTACGCACTGTTCTTGAAATATTCACATATGGATGTAATAGTTGTATAATAATTAAACATAATAAACAGTAATAACATGAAAGACATTTATCGAGCATCACTCTGGCTCATATAAGGACAAGCACCTGCGCAGTATGAATTTTTAACACTTAATGCCGAGATTTTTCAAAGAATACTTCTTTTTCATCACTTCTCAAATGTTCTCAAAAAACCTATAGTAGAACTGGTAGTATAATCCTAGTCTCCATTCCTAGCAAGTATTGTTGATTGGGTGTGAAGTTAATTACGATTAACTTCGTCAAAAACGTAGGTCGTCTATTACAAATACATTATTACAACGAGTGTCGTCGACATCAATACAGATGCACCCTCCAATAACAACTTCTGCAGACATCCTTATCGTCCATATCGCAACGATTAATACAGCACTTTATGTTTCTTTTCTAAAAATTTCAGTGTCAGAGTGACTCTACTAGAAGGAACATCCGTAACGGAAGGATGATAACGGTAGTCATATTGAGGTTGCGTTAGCGGAGAAAACGAAACGCTGGAAACTTCATGCAGAGTATTTCTTCTGTTAGCAATGAACTATTCTACCTGCTTATTGCATATTACAGACTCGCACAAGTAGAATTTAATATGTCTACCTTTTCTTTCTATGCTACATTTATTCATTAGATTAAAGCCGCGTCGTTGCTGGGTTTTGCCTGTTTGTGGAGATTCGATCTACTTGATTCATCCTGTCAGCAATGTCTCCTAAGATGAGAAGTTTAGCCCCTTCTCGTAACAGATAGAGCCTAGTTCGCGAGCCGTCACTAATTACCGTGTCGTTAAACCTGATATGAATAAATGTTCAACCGTAAAGATGCTGAGATATGAGCAAACCTCGGAGCCTTGGTGCGCTTCAAACCCGCGACTACTCATTCCAAGGGCTCGCGGGTTGTGGATTTATCCTCAGATCACTCCTATTGACGGTGCTTGCTGGTAACAACGTGAGAGTAGAAAACTAACTGAGAGAAAAGTAAAGCAAGGGTCTAGGTTGGTGCAATAGATAGCGCATGAGACTTGGGAAAGGGTAATCGCGGGTTCGAAGCACACCTGAGCTTCTGCGTTTTACTCACATCTCAGCAATCTTGTGCTTGAATTTCACATAATGCGCCGCCTAAAAAAAAGAATAGACAGCGACTAAAAGTTCAAAAAAAGTTTATTATAGTTTTGAAGAAGTGGAAATTAACGAGACCAGTAGGCTACGTTTCTAACCTGAACAAGGTGCGATAGCCATGATTAGCCACCAGTGACCGAGCGGCATGAAGTGGTGACTGATATCGAGCATGAGCCTCATCAGTCTGAATCTGAATCAGCAGTTTCAATCGCTCCGACGGTGTAGCTGAAAATCACACGCTGAAATAACTGTCTTCTTATTAACAAAAAGTAAGACAGCAAACTTAACCAGCTATGAAAAGTGTTTTATAGAACTCTCTAGGAACATTTCCTTAATAATAGTACTCTGGATAGAGCACCACAACAACGTAGCAACGTTCTTGAATATTTCCCTTATTTTTAAATAGATATCCAGCTTCGAATAGTGGATATTCTTTGAGTATAGAGTATTTGGTCGTCTGAGAAAGTCATATTTCTTTTGTTGCTCTGTATCACTTTAAACTTTATGAGGGCTTACTCAAATAGGTTTAGATCTTCATAGGTAAGAAGTGTTACCGTACTTTTTTTAGAGTAATCATTAAAGAACTCGAAACTGCTAGGATAATAAAATGATAGATCAAAGCTTACTACAGCTACAGTAGACACTTGTTTTATATCATTCTACTGATCGAAACTATTTATTGTTAAAAAGAGTACAAGAGAATTTTTCCCTAGTTGAAGTGCTTAATTACATCACCATTTAGAGAACGTGGAAATAAAACATAGCTCCGCTTTCTATTTTAGCAACGATTCCTAGAAAAAAGCTTTTCGAACTCACAAAATAGTTTTTCTTTAGTTGTTGGGTTGCGAATAAGTTGTGTATGATCAAACTTTGCTCCGTACCGATGATACTTTGCATCATCCCTGCCGCCGATCCGGCAAAGAAATGCGCCTTCAGCGAACTGGGTTCGGCGAATTCTCGAGTCACTGAACCATGTACACCGAACACGATGGCGTTGATGGCCGTAAGTGAAGCTAACGGTGACGATATTCCTGCAAATATCGAAAAATCGTCATTGTTTCGATTCAAAAGGCTATAAATTTCCGTTAACAGCGAAGTGGTTAGGGTGCCGTAGAATAGACACCTAGTCGATAGTTCGGTCTTCCACTTCAGAGAAACCAATCTCTCTATCCGTTCGGGTCCAGAAATTTAGCACTGAATTAGTTTGGGAGGATAAAACTACTGAATTAATACTTTGCAAGTCATTATATATGCCAAATATGCATTCAATTACCTTTACTATGGTAGGAATGGAGTGGAATGCATGGTGTCCTTCTCAGGGAAAGATTAACACTGAACACTTTACCTTTCATGATATCATTCCACACAACAATTTTTCAGGCATTTACTATACTACTATATACTAGTACGTTTTTCTCCTCGCCTATACACTATCACAAAAATTACACACCAATATCGAGAATATGCTTGCCGTGGCTTCAACTAATTAACTGCACCATAAGATAGAACGACCTTTATTCGACTCTCTAGTATCGCTACTAGATAGTACTCAGGCTGTCTTGCGTCTTTATGTAAATCGACTATGTCCTGAATCATATCCAAATGTTAAGGAGTAGGGTACATCCAGAAAGATTTCTCAACCCGACAATTATCACATTTCTATTTGCATCGCTTTTAGTGCACTACTGAACATGTGTGGTTGTTTAGGAAATCTTTACGACAAGTACAGATTCTAAGACTTTTTCGTCGCAAAGTGAATAACGTGTCCTGCAATCAATTAGGACACCTATGTCGACACAACTAAAAGCTGTTGATTTTATTTATATTCCTCCTAGTTTTTTTTCTTTTGAACGCGGAAAGAAAAAAGAATGATGAGTTGAAAAGAATCATCGCCACCATGAATAGATTTATTTGTCATGGACATCGGCATTGCGATAAGTGACGCCCTAGTCGTAAATCATTGACATAGCCCTAATAAATTCTTAGCAAATTGTACCGGTGAATATGATTTTATCGATTTCCGATTAAAATTGCAAAAGAGATAGCAAGAATAGAAAGATATAAGAAAGTTTATGGAAATTTGTGTAATCATTATGGGAAACAAAATGTGGAATGAAGGGAAAATGTAGAGCTCTACGAAATATGCACAGTTCAACACGAAAGTATAAGACATTGTAAATGGTATGTGCATAAAAAAGCATAAAGCATATAAAATGTACAAATTTGTTTATAACAAGTGGAAATTACCAGTACAGCTGACAACTTTCTAGCCTTATTACGGTAAAACAGCTGTTTTTGAAGCAACCTAAGTAGACCGTCTGGTGCTCATCCAGAAAGAAAACCCATAACAACAGAATGGATTCCTTTGCACGGTTTGCGTACATTTTTGTTAACAACGAGATTTTGTTTAAGGTGGACCAATCCTTTAAATTTAGCGGATAAACTGATCATTCCCGAAAGTTCACTCGTGGTTTTGACTTTAAAATGTGGATGATGATAGTTCAAAATCTAATCCTAAATAAAGCGTCTTTTCTAAACTTTGCAACCATCACTATTCCAATTACACTTCATGATACTGTATATGATGGCTGACTACGGTATTTTGTTATATTTTCTGCTTTAACTGTCAAGTTGGTTACGACTCTGGCATTTACGATGACATCGTTGCTATCGAAGGGCGATGATGCGACCGATGGTTTCGCTCGGACCGGAGACAGTGATTGATGATATGGACGAAAATCATTGACGCGCGGCTGTTATCACCAAACAAGGAGTAATCCAAGCAATTATCGACTTTTTCGTAGATCGATTCCTACACAACGTCTACAGAGAAAAGAACATCTTCCACAAATTGTAGTTTGACCACTTATGAAGTCCGGAAGTCTTAACAATAACGGTTTTGTTGAAAATAGCTTCCAGCTAAGGGCATCTAGCTGCTCACTCTTATCCAACTAAAAAATCCCAATAAAACTACAGCTTTGCAATCTCTATTGCAATACAGGGATTTCCGACATTTCATCGCTACTAATATTTGTCGCCACTCAGAAAAAAAAGGACATCTTTCATAAACTGTAGTATTACCACTTGCAAACAGTAAAATTGTTACCAATAACAATTTTCTTCACTACCAATGTGTTAATGAACTCTTTGATGACCATTTACCTTTATAGAGACCGGAAATGCCTTCATTTCGTACGATTGTTCTGAAGCAATGCCATGTTCCACGATAAAGCTTTGAGTGAGTATTTTGCATTTGTAGGCGAACCTTCACAGTGTCGAGTGGGTGTCCGGCAAGTACACCGGCTGCCCCTGAAACGTAGCAGACTTAAAAAATACCGTATAAGAAATAGTTACTATTAGAAAAAGTTTAGATCTCAATATTGGAAAATCAAGTACAATTACCTCCGAGACATCCGGCAAAAAAATCCAAAGCGGACATACTTGACGAGTACTGAATTCACGAATAAGTATAATAATAGTTACAAGTTAGTCTTGATAGCGAATCACGTGTCGCGTGTAGCCTTCAAAGGCCGGAGACAGGGCGACGTTGTCAGCTGTTCGTAGGTAATAGAACAAGCGCTGTTGAACAACAGCAACGAAGAAGTAATGGCGCTAGGCAGGAATGAAGAGAGATGATGCTTAAGAGTGACTCGCTCAACAACTCAAGGATGCTGAATTCGGTATTCGAACATGTTGAGACCAATGGTGCTCCTACACCTACTTCCTGATCGATATACGGTAGCCGATGGCGTGTTTCAGTCAGCACACGCCCCCACCAGGGCGAGACGCAAACACAAGATCGTCACCGTCCTACAGTACACACGTAGAACGTTCATGTGCTCGACTATGATGACAGTTATAAACTGTTCTTGAGACCACAATGTCATCATCGGAGATCTCCGAATAACAACGCGGTGAAGTGATTGTCTGAACATTATTCATAAGAGACACAGGCTGAGTCATACGACCACAGTGACTTCATACTTCAAGATAGTAGTGTTCTGTCCATGTTCTGAAAGCAGGGTTGAAATTTCCGTTACCGAGAACGCATGTGCAAGAAGACCAGATATTATCACAACTATATTCCTTCGAAGACTGGCCGTTATTCAGAGATGACCTGAACTTCAGATAAGGGGCGCGTGCAGCGCAGTGGTCGGAGGCGTTCTGCAATGTACATGGTATCGACTCCTGCGCACCAGAGTCACTAAGCTCTTCATCCCTCCGGGGTCGGCAAATTGATAGCAGACTCGTCTGGGAGTATAGCAGAATTGGCTCAATACGTCGGTAGGCCACCGCGAGTTCTTGTAAAGGCCAGATATGCATTCAATCACCTCCAATGATACCTAATGAAGTCGAATGCTTGGTGCATCTCCCAGTGATAGACCAATGCCGAGAGCGTTGTTTTTTTATTCTTTTATTCAGATATATAAATACTTTTCATCTGATAGAATTATATATCTTAATAGAACGCGGAAGCGCATTGGCTAGAGTTGCTGTGCATCAAACGCACTTTAACCTATCCGAAGCCGTCCGAGTCCAGCCAATCCCCCGTCTTTCTAAGGTTAGTTATTTGCTAGTGGAATTACCTAGAGCAGGCTTCTTACAGTCTACAAGGACCCGGCACTAAGGAGGTATAGAACTGAAAACACTTCATCGGTGCTGTTCCGTGATTCCATTACAGAGAGAATAGCATTCAATCAATATTCAGAAAACATCCACGAAGAACAGAAAATCCTCAGCTAGAAGTCGGGCTCAAACTCAAATTCGATGAACTTCATGGATTAGAGCGGCTAGACAACAAAACGGATGACAAAAGGACTAGGCTCCACCAATATATGTGGGCAGCTTACACAGAAGGGAATAAGTAGAAACAAGCATAAAATTATGTGCGCCTTTCAATAAGGTAAAAAAACTTGAAAGTCTTCTTGTCAGATTGGTTCAATCAGTTTTATTACTTATGGATTTCGTTATTTTTTGATGGCTGTTTTTTAGTACTACTCATATGTAGTATTACACTGTGCAAATTGAGAACAGGTTTGAACCAAGGAATGATTTAAAAGAAAAAAAATAGGCGCATTAAGGACTTTTTTGACAATTTTTTGTTGTAACTATTTTCCTCTTAACTTTGTTAACCATAACCACATAAACTCTAAAAACTTTATTTTAACTTATTATTTACTGCCTATTCTTGTGATTATAACTGCAGCCTCAGCTTAACTGCGTTCGTTGCCGATTTGGACTCCCCAGATCAATCCCGTCGACGGGTGATTGCTGATGGCAAAAGAACGATACAACTAGCTAAGAGACAGGCGAAATGAATGACCCGCATGGTGTGGTGGTGAACGCGTTACTCCCCGGAAAGGATAACAGCATGTTCGTTCCCCACCGCAGACACCTGGGGTCCGGAGTTTTGCAAATATTTCAGAATCATTGATTGAAAGCTTTATTTTAGTTTGTAAAAAATTTGTAACGCTTGTTAAGTACGTGCTTCTGCACTAAAGTGATCCAAAAAGTGGTAGAGAGTACCACAATATTCACAACCCTGCTCTTGTGAAAAAAAACCAAATATTTCTGCTTATTGTAGTCGCAACACTTGTTGTTACGGTTTACTATTATTGATTCCTTTAGTAACTATTGCTGACCTATAATTTTTAACCTTTCTCTATATCTATCAGAACGACCTGTCATCACAAAGAATGGCGCGAACCTCAAAACACTTTCTACTTAACTAGCACATTTCTGGCTTAACAACACTTAGCTAGAGTTCCGATAAACTCTCCTCCAGAATAACTTCAACGGTGCTGAGATATATGCAAAACTCCTGACCGCAGGTGTCTGCGGTGAAGACCGAACACACTATTACACTTTTCGAGTGCTAACGCATTCACCACGACACCATGCGGATCCTTCGTCTCGCCTGTCTCTCAGCTAGTTCTATCGATCTCTGCCACCAGTAATCACTCGTCGGCGGGATTAATCTGGAGAGTCCAAATCGGCAATGAACTCAATTAAGCTGAGACTTTAGTCTCCTCCAGAATGTTCACACGTCCTCAACATTGGCGATTAAGCATCGGTCTTTGTGATTGCTGACTAAATGGTGGATAGATTTGCAATCTTGCAACCGCGTTTTCCAGGATGGTGGATAATCCTGGCATTAGTTTACCCTCTTATGAATTCCCAAACTCAAAAGTCGATGTTTTGCTCAGCTTAGGTTTCAAGGACTGAGCCGTCCTCTGAACATCACAGTATGACATACAGCCATAATAAGATGGGAATCGATCGTGAAAATTTATTACCACATTATAATTAGAGATTATATCCTCTTCACCACAACGAGTTAGTATTCGGATAACCCTCTTTGAAAAGATAACCAAAGTACGCAAGTAAGTTCCAATGGCATCTAGAAATCACTTAAAATTCAGTCTCTTGAAATCGGAAGCTCACTAAAATTTTTTTGACCCATCTTCACGTCTACTGTGCGGATCCCAACACTTCTCACATTGAATTCGTTACGTCGTATCCATCATCCACGAAGATCTAAATTTACTTGTGGCTTCGTTTTCTACTTCAGAATTTTCACTTCACGTTGAATGTTCTAGAATGCTTCTCGAGCAATTCTTCCTGGAGTCCTGAGATAGCCAGGCAGGAGCGCTCCCAATTGGATTGCAGAGAGTGATTTTTTCCCACAGAAGTCCTCTACCAATTCCCCGATCCTGGAGGGATGACAGTTTTGGTTGGCCCGGAGGAATCGAACTAGAACCAAGCTCACTAAATATAATCTTTAAGGCAATAGCATCATAATGACCCATTTTCTTAAGCAGCTTTTCTATTCTATGATTATAAGGATAAACGATAAAGCGTTCGGCGTAGACTAATCCGTAAGCGAAGCAGGATGCATTCGACTCCATTCGTAGCAAGGTAGAGGTGATTGAATGCATATCTGGACTATTCAAGATTTGCCGTGGCCTAGCAGTGCATCAAGTCGAAAGCGCCCAGCCGAGTCTGGTACTAATCTACCAAAATCAGAGTGAGAAATGGCACAGTGAACCTGGGAAGCAGGATTGAACGAAGGGATATAGGTATAAGTTTTCTAGAATTTGTGGCCTTCAGCAGTTTGGCGTAGTGAGGATATCACGAAGATGCACCGTCGGACACTATGAATGGCTTTTATGGCCCGCCAAAATGATATTTCCCTATTTCTATTTCACTTCACTGACACGCTTAACAATAAACATGTTACTATATTATTTACGACATTTTCCATTTTATAAAATATTATAGGTATTCCTCTCTCATTTATGTTATCCTTCCCAATAGCTTACTGTTCCATTGTGGACTACGATGTTCCTAGGTGTAGAATTTTGATGTACAGCAAAGGCTCCCATCTCAACGTTGTCATCTATGCAACGACGCAGATGGACATTTCCATTTTAAGCACAATAGGAAATCACTACAATCTAGAGAAAATCAGTCCACAAAGTGATAGAAATTACTCCAATCCACGGGTAGAAGCGGTTTGGGTAAAAACTAGGGAAAGCTACGGCACGACTATATCAAAACTATGAGGAAGAAGGATCTCTCCCAACCGGGAAATTGGCCATCAAATCGAAATTTCATCGAACTATTGAAACGATTGCCCGATTATTTCACAAGCCGATCAAGTACTACGCATTTTAATTGGCTGAATCTAACAAATATTCAAAAGTGGCACTGAGATCCATCAGGTTTGAGCGTTGTTGCTAGCAATGTGTCCCACATGGGAAAATAAGTACGCAGTCAATCAAAATTTTACTGGATCTCCGTCTTATTTTTATGTTGTAAAAAACAGAAAGTTTTTTTTCACCACACGCCTGATCGAGCAGACACGTGACCTGCTGGTCGTTAGCTACTACAGGCTAAACCTTCGACGAAGGACAGCGTCACGAGGGTAACGGCATGGCCAAATAATAACGTTGAGAACTTCTTGAATAATTCCGGCAACTGCCGTCTGTTTCACAATTTCTCTCTCTCTCTCTCTCTCTCTCTCTCTCTCTCTCTTACAAAAAAAAGTTTAAACGCAATTCATCTCACTGTCTCATCAAGATAACATCGTCAGACGATGGTAGGTGCGTCGATGACGGGCACCAACAGCGGTGTTATTCGATAGAAGTGATTAAATGATATACCAAGAAAGATTATTTTCACTGTTATCTACTTGCACTCCCCTAGCGAACAACGTGCCCCTTCCTCACGTGGCGAATTCTGTCACCAACAAAAATACGCCTTATTGAAAACCACTATTCAAAACTGTGACGTGTAATACTTTAAAAGCCGATTTTAATTCAGTACTAAAAATCAACGTTTTGTCTTAAAGTATTACACTATTTTGGATAGGACCGATGGCACTACTTAATTCGAGCGGCACTCTACTGAATTCGATGTAACTATGTAGACCCAATC